AATTAAGAGATTTCCCCAAGGTAACCTGATAATTAGTGGTAACATGTCAGCATTAAAATCCAGGTTTCATAAAAGCAACTGAGGCCAATAGGAAAAGGGGAACAGGTACTAGAGAAAAGGTTAGATCAAAAAGAATTAACCTAGAAGGTAACACCCACGCACAGGAAATCAATGTGAGTCAATGCCCTGTATAGCTATCCTTATCTCAACCAGCAGAAACCCTGTTCCTTCCTATTATTGCTTATACTCTCTCTACAACAAAATTAGAAATAAGGGCAAAATAGTTTCTGCTGGGTATTGAGGGGGTGGGGGGAGAGGGAGGGGGCGGAGTGGGTGGTAAGGGAGGGGGTGGGGGCAGGGGGGAGAAATGAACCAAGCCTTGTATGCACATATGAATAATAAAAGAAAAAGGAAAAAAAAATTAAATAAATAAATAAAATAAAATCCAGGTTTCAGAATCTATGAAATAAGGACTCATGACAAATCACTGTAGCCGTGAAACATGTTTTAAGGACCTAGACTGAACAAGGCCAGAGCACCTCAGCTCATTTTCCAGGCTCCTCAACTGCACATGATCATCCTGACTACTCCAATTCTTTCTGTCATCAGGAAAGAAGACATCACATCTACCTTGGAACATAACTAGTCCAAGTGGCTAGTGAGGCTGAGTCCTCAACCTCGTTGGACAAATTGTCTAGATGTTCCAAGACTTTTTCTCCAAGACATAGCAGATTAAAAAAAAACTTAGTGTACTTGGACTAAATGATGGGGAAAAAATGTTCACCTTAAGTCATTTTCTAAACTCTTTGGGTAAGGAAATTTTATCTTAAATACTGTAATCTTAAAGTTAAAAGAGAAACTGGGGTGCAAATCAGTGGGAACCATAGGTGAAAATAAGTCACCTATGAACTGACAAGATCACTGGGGGAGAGCCTTCTATCCTGGTACTTAGGAACAGAGCTGTCCTTTTATCAGTCTGAAGGCCATCTGTCCCCAACCACCAAGAAAAAAAAAAAAAACAGCTCAAATTACCACATCCTAAGCAGCCAAAATTATAGGCAAGAGAACTGGCCAAACGTTCACAGTGGTGATTTTTACTAAATGTACCACTAACTAAGCAGGGCAATAGAGAAAGGTTAAGTAATACAGGTGGTTAATCTGATTGAAATATGACATATACACATGTGGTGCCAAGGCAAGATCCCCTTGAACAATCAACATACACTTAAAAAAATAAAGGACAGGAAGGTAAAACAGATGTTTCTGTGGTGGGTACCAGTGGAAGGGGGGAGGTAAATGGAGAGGATGAAGGAAGGCAAATATGGTAGATGTACTTTGTATACATTATGAAAACCGAACAATGGAATCCGTTAAAACTGTTCAAAAGGGGGAGAGGGGAGGATGAGGGAAAATGATGGGGAGGGCGAATATAATTAAGATACGTTGTAAGCACATATGTAAATATCACATTGAAACCCCCCTGTACTACTAGTGTATGCTAATAAAACATTTTAAAGGCAATTGCATTAAAAATAGAAAATAAAATCATCTTATTAAAACAATTCTATTTTGCAACTGAGACACTTAGACAAGATGATCTTTGAGGCCATTTCCAGTACCAAGTCTGTGATTTCCAAACACTTACAAATCACTTTATTAGAAAGAAAAAGGAATGATGTCTAGAAGAAATACAAACCTTTTCAAAACAGAAAATGTCAGCTCTTATGGAAAATACCAACCTAGAATACTATACTTCCTAACTTAATCCTAATCATAGCCACAAGTATTTAAATCCTATTTTCCAATATTATTATTTTTGTTCTGAATGCATGAGTGTTTTATCAGTATGAGGAAGAGAACTCACTGAATGAAGCTTGCACCTCTGACATTCCATACAAAGGTGAGGTTGAAGGGATTAGGTCAAAATGACCCTCTTTTGTTCAAACCGGTACAAACCTGCTGTGATCACAGCCACAGTGGCCATCATGAAGGATAGCACTCAAAAGTCACTGGTGCTCACCCAACAATAGTGAGAACATTTGGCCTCTCACAGGCTCCAACATGGACCAGCCCTGCCCCCACCTCCACACCACCAAAATACTCCCCGAAAAGCCTGCAGTTATGGCAGGGGAAGGGACAAATACAGACTTTTGGAGAAGAAAAGTGAGTGAAAGAAACTTAAGACAAAATGAAAACATTGAGAACTCACCCAAAGTTATTTCTTCCTGAATGCCAATTTAACACCGTAGTCAACCCCAAATGTGTACTGAGCATGTGGGCCCTGCACTAGAGGGTGAAAGACAAGGATGAGGTACTCATAGAACAGACTAGTTCCTGGGGAAGAAAGACAACAAATGACAAACCACGAGTTCAGAGGCTGATCCCAGGAACCTCGTCCTCAGGGTGATCAATGAAGAGACCTCTGCAGCAGAGTCCTGAACTGAGAGCCAGAAGAAAGGGAGCAGGCCAACAACCTGCCCAGGGAAGAAGTCCCAAAACAGACAGCACAGGAGGTAAAGGGGAGAACACAGACCCCGCTGGCTTCTCACATGGAACATGACCTTCCCCCAAATCAGCTACTGGAAATTCCCTAAGCTCAGGGAGCTGAGGGAGAGGAGGCTGGACAACAAGGAAGGAAAAGAAGGAAAAAAAGAAAGAAGAATCCATATCCACCAAGGAAGGGGTCTGGTAGAGCTACATCTGCTATCACTAATTGTCCCCTCAGAGCAGAAAAGAATGCTAGGTTCAGAAAAGGCAAGTGTGTTGGGCAGTTGTGTAGCTCTTAAAGGGATGAAGTAGCAGCATCTGATTGGCACATCCAGTTTCCTTCACCTTATCACACATCTTTCCTTTCATTTCATTTCATTTTTTTAACATTACAAAGCATGAGGTGAAGGTTATATTGGTATAACATTAATTTATGTGAACTAAAGATCTTTTGTGCATGATATTGACTAAGGTTCAAATGATCGACTGATAGAAAGCTTTTCCAAGTTCAATTCTTTTTTTTTGCAGGACTGGGGTTTGAACTCAGGGCTTCACACTTACAAAGCAGGTACTCTACCATTTGAGACACATCTTCAGTTCCTAGTTCAATTCTTGATACTGATTAACATTTTAAAACAATCTCTACCAACCTTTTAAATTCATAGCACCAAAATATAAAAAGCTCAAATGTTAACACAATAGTAATTGATGATGTTACAGAAATATAAGAGAAGGCTGTTTAGTGACTTTTAAGTGATAAGCATATAGAATCCTCCCTGTACATGAAAACATAATATTAAGTGATATCAACTTAATATAAGCAGAAAAGGCAGTGCACAATATAGTATGTACACACTGATTATAGCTTTGCCACAAAGTACATCTTTCCAACAAAGATGACAAATAAATTGAAAGGAATTTAAAGAAGACACCTTTTTATTAGGGACATTTTTGCTTCCAGTTGCTTCAGCTCACATAATAAATATATAAACCACCTCTCCAAAAGAAAATAAAGATAAAGGAATAAATGTCTTAAAAGGTAGATCTTCTTAAAAATCTATCCAGAGCAAATGGTCATATTCTGTTCGTCATCTGGAATTTTCAGAGTATAAATATCATAAGAGAATTTCTTATGTTAACTTACCTTAATTGCTTATTTTAATATTGACTCAATAGGAAAAGTTATTGCAAAGGTGATTCCTATAATCAAATATTACTACAAACATGAACACCATCAAACTTTTCCTGCAGAAACTGTAATTCCACACCACTGCTGCAAAGCACACCTCAGCCACTCACAACAGAGGTTGTAAAGTCATTTCCTCCTCTCCTGTTACTGAATATATTCGAATGTAACATGGTCAGTTTACTTCTTCCGAATATACTAAAGGAGTTTTCACTAAATACAAGATGACGGAGTTATTAATGTTGTCTGCATCACCTTTGCAGAGCTGAAAATGTTACTTCAGTATTCAAGGTCAAGAAAGCAGGGTTGTATCCACTATTCAGACACAAAGATTCCACAGGTGCTTCTTTTCCTTGCATCTAACAATGTAAGAGGTTTTGTATTTACTGCCTAGCAAACTCTGCTCATGATAAACTATTAAATATACACAAAATGACTTTAGGAAATCATTTAACCCCATCTCAAGAAAATGATAGAAAAATAGAGGTGTTACACAGGAAAAAAAAATTGTTAAGTAGTCTTCAATTCAAGTTGAATTTCCTAAATCCAATATTTCATCCATGGAGGCTGGATACATTCCAGGGTCAATTGTGTTTTTTACAGTAGTCTCAGAATCAACATGACAGAGCAAATAAAAACACAGGATAATACTGGGAAAGTTCTAATTCCCACTGCATTGCACACGTTTTAAAGTGGCTCATTTTGTAATATAAACTTTACCTCAGTAACAAAAGCATAAAGTCAACAGTAAATGTCTAATTACTAAGAAACTATAATACTTATGTTCTGAAAAGACAGCACAGCAAATCTAAGCAATAAAATTCTGAGCTTGTCCAACCAAAACATTCTAACAATCAAAAAGCCATATATTTGGGATTAATATACAAGATGTGCTTCAAAAGAATGAAAAATTAAAAAACACGTGGAGTGTGGAGGCATGGTTGAGAGCAGGGCTGAACAAGGTCCATGGAAGGTAACAGTTTCTGAAGCAGGTTTCATTACATTGTCCGGAGAGGACTATGACGTTTGTGCCTGGTCAAAATTGACCATGGAAACTAGGTTTTAAAAATTCCATCTTCAGAGTGAATCTAATCCTGGAACCAGAAACACAGGTAGAGCACCAGGTAGGTAAGACGCTTAAAACGAAGCAGAAAACCAAAAATCATCATCTTCTGTGATTATTATGAGAACACCTGACTTCCAATATTGCCCTTTAACTTATTTTTTAATAAACAGGGAAGTGTAAGCATTTCTTCAATGGTTTCTTTAAACAGACCTCACATATGGCACATTTTATAGAGTAAGAAATGACAAGATCTACACATACCAGGAGTATCATGGGCCGTTTCCAAGTTGTTAACCCTATGATTCCCGAGAGTATCACCTGTAAAGATAAAACAGAATGGTCAGTCCAGAAAATGGACTTATTCCAACTAATTACCCCCGGGCTCAAAAGAATGTGTTTCTAAAGTACTGAAATTTCAATTAATTTCAGGGATATTAAATCAATTAATAACCCTAATTATATGAAGTCTGACAGACCACTCTGCACTCTCACAAACCCACAAAAAACCTTTTTTTTTTTTTAACGAGTATATATGCGTTTCCTTGGTGTCAGTTAAGAACACATAAGCACAAATTAGCCTCTCCTTCTGGTCAGAGAGCAAATCAGCATTTCAGCATTTTCAATCAAGCGCCCTGCTTCCAGAACTAGCCTGGATAAGATGTACATCTGGCCATATCCCTCCCTTCATGGACAGGGTAAGATCTTCAAAATGATAGATAAGACCCTTGCCCATGTCTTACCCTGGTGTCCATGCATCCCTGCCCCTTCACCACACACCTCTCTGCCTGGCACACCTGTCCTTTCTAGACCAGGTCCTAGACATTCATGGGCTATGGGCTTCTTCCTCTTTGTACAGTGCCCTCTCCTCCCAACAGTGGTCCTAACTACCTGAGAACTCCTACCCATCCTACAAGACCCTACTTAACATGCACCTCCTCTGAGAACCCTTCACTGAGCTCATCACCCCATAACCCAGAAGACCTTTACATAGAATTTTTCCCTTCAAAACCTCTCAATTATAGTAATTTCTACCACAAACTCCTATCTTATCTTTGCACCCCAGCAAAGAGCTCTCAGCATAGAGCCTGTCATATGGCTGGTAACTAATGGTGTCCCTGGGCATTTATTCCACAGAATGAAGAACTAAAGTGAAAAAGAGCGCATGTTGCAAAATGACACTTCAATAAACAACAGACTAACAAGAACCAGAATGTTGCCAAAACATAAACTGGCAACCACCATTTGCCTTCTGGATAGCACAGTTCCCCAAGCCACTGGGAAAGAATAATCAGAGAAATTATTCAGCCTGGGGATGTCCTATGCCACCTGGGCACAGTCACCCTTGTGTGAGAAAGCACATCTACATCTACTCACACAGATAACAGAGGGCTCCTCACGTACCAGAATCCCTCCAGCGCATGAGTTCTCAATTACTGCTGATGAAGTATAAACCAGAAGGATTTTACAGCATAGCTTTAAATCCACAGCACACGGATGACTTGCAATACACAGCTCACACCAGCTGAGAGTGAATCACTCCACTACACCACACCAAATCCAGCAGGGGGCAAGTCTGCCCACCCAGAACCAAAACTACGTGCAGGCAGACAGGCAGGGAACATTTTCTGTGTATCCCCCTTGTGTGTACATGTCTGCCTGTCCACCAAGCACTATATACCCTTGCAGTCCCCTTTCCTCCCCCTAAGTGACTTCTGCCTGCCTGTGACATTCAGGGCAGGTGTGGCTTACCCTGAGCATGTGGATGGGGTCTACTGTGCACACTGGAGATGGAATCCATGAGACCTGGCTCCAGACCCTGACTCAGCTTCCAAAAAGTTAATGCCATGACCTTGGCCAAGTCATTTCATATCTCTGGCCCTCCCTATGGTCTCCTGAGAAGCGTGGCTCCAAAGACTGACCTCAGAGTGAGGAAAGAGTGCTCAGACATCCTGACGTTCAGTGTACAGGCACATGTGCTCTGTGTGTGTGTGTGCGCCTCCCAGCCACCCACTTGCCGCCCCTGGACTTTGCTGAGGAAATGCAAGCTGTTTTTGTAAAAACTTAACTGAAAATTTGACTGCCCTTAAGGGAAACACCAACCCTGCTTCAGGCAAAAAACATCACTGTTATTTAACTTATGACTGGTGTTTGCAACCAGTGTTACCAAGCCCCCAATGGAGACCCCTGTGGTTCAGCTTTGTGGAACAGTGTTTTCCATCAGAACAATAGCATTAAGATGAAGTGCCAGCTCAGAACAGAAAAGTCCCCGGAAAAGTGACATACCTAGACCTACCCATCCCACCTCCCTCACGTTCACAATCCAGAAATCCAGTGTGGTTACGCATTTTACATATGTATGTATTTCTACATTGTCATAGCCATGCCACCACGTGTATTTGAACGTACACAGGTGTGATTTCTACAAAAACAGATCATAAAAGACTTTTTCCGCCTCTTCTTTTCCTCTCTCAATAAAGACTTGGTGCAAATCTCTGAGTCACTGCAATGGCTGTCTTCACTTTGGCTTGGTGGCTACGTAATGTTCCGTGGTGTGGCTGCACCCGATGTGTCAACCATTTCCATATTCATGGCATTCGCTGTTTTTCCCCCCTCACAAACAATGCCACCGTAAACATCCATGGTCATATCTATCTTTAAAAACGGGCACTTTTGTTTGCATTGGGTAAAGTCTCAGGAATGAGATTGCTAAATTGGAAGGTATTGATATTTTTTTATTCTAGTATATTCTGATAGACAGGAGTGTCGTTTCCAATGAAGGACCTCTGAGACAAAAAGAACTATAGTTCTGTCTTTATTTCTTCCTTTAGAAGTGGTATTTTGTTTATATATGGTAGCAACAAACTATAGGAAATGTACTTTTTTAAATATGTAAAAGATGTATATGAGAGATAAGTATTAATCATCTCAAAATATGTTTGACAAAGGTACCTAAGACCTTGGTGAGGAGATATATAAAGCTTAGGGGACAATATCTAATGAAGAGCCAAACAGATCAAAATATACACCAAGTTCATGGATGTAAGACAAACTATTTAAAGACACCATTTCCATTTGAATTGGGCCTTTTTTGTTTGTTTGGTGGTACTAGGATTGAACTCAGGGCCTCACACTTGCATGGCTGGTGCTCTATCACTTGAGCCTCTTCCAGCCCTTTTTGATTTAGTTCCTTTTCAGGTAGGGTCTCACATTTTTCGCCCAGGGCCAGTGTCAGGTCACAATCCTCCTACTTACACCTGCATAGCTGGAATCACAGGCATGGACCAGCATGCCTGGTTTATTGGTTGAGATGGAATCTAGCTAACTTTTTGCCCAGGCTCAAACTGCACTCCTCCCAATCTCTGCCTCCCAAGTAGCTTGGATTACCAATGTGAGCCACTGTGCCCAGCCTCAGATTGTTTGACAATTCAAGCGCACACACCCGACAGGATTTGTGTGAACAACCTTCTTATCGGCGGCTATAGGAAACACCCCAGTACCCTCGGAATGCAGTTTTGCCCTCCTCAGTCCTGTGCCTCCTGTGCACAGCCCATGAACTTTCACCCAATTCCTGCTCTTCTGAAGCCCAATGATTCCCCAAGGCTCTTGGGAAACCCCGTGAGTGAGAAAGGGGGAAAGCTGAATAGAGGAAGGTGGGCTAGAGTGACAGAAGCCTCTAGAAAGGTTGCAGAGCATAGGTGCTGCAGAGGGCATGAATCCTCTCAGAGCACAAGATGTGAGGAGTGGAAGTTCACACTCACCTAAATGGATGGGGAAGGGAGGAGGGAAAGAGGCCGAGCTAGCAGCTAGCGCCTCTGCCGCCCTTGGTGACAACAGCCTTTCCCCTCCCATTGCACCACAACGCTGCTACTTGTTTGATGATCTGTGAGGGCTTGGACCTGTGCATCCTCACTCAGGTGCCACCAAAGGCTCCTGGAAGACACGCTGAGTGATGGCGAAAGTCCAAGAATGGATGGATGAGGAAAGAGAACAGAAACGGGAGGAGCTTGCTCACTGATGAACCCCACCTCTGCTTCCTAATGGAGAGCCCTAGCAGCAAAAAGCCACCCCCTCAGCACCCCTTTCACCCCACACAGGATGCAACTTGCCCCATGAACAGGCAAGAGCCTATTCTCTAACACCAAGCAATCTCTACACTAGAATGAGTCTATTATAATTTTTGTGTCACACACTTGTGACTCATTCCTTGTAGCTTACAAAGAACCCGGAGACCTTTCTTTTTTTCTGATAATGCAGAGGGCCCCTGAGACACTCCAGGCGAGTCAGTGTTACCCACCAAGTATGGTTAATGGGCCTTAATCTTCCAGCTTAAAAACCAAATCATTAAGATCAAAAGCTTGTAATTCTACTGCCCCATTTTTCATGACTAATCCACTAGCATGCCTGAGGGCAAAAATGTTCTGGATCATTTGTGAAAAGGTGCTGTATCTAAACAAAGGGATTAAAAAAAAAAGCCATGTTGTAAATGCCCCATGTTTACTTTGTAAATAAGCACAAATAATTCATCAAAGCCTTCAATAACCTATCTTGCCCTATAGCTTTTCTAGCAGTGATGGAATCGTGTGAGTGTGCTCATGGGAGAGGGAGAGAGGGAGAGAAGAGAAGGGGGGGACAGAGAGAGGGAGACAGAGGGGGGGGAGAGAGAGAGAGAGAGAGAGAGAGAGAGAGAGATTTCCTTCCTGTCTAGTATGACTCATTAAAAAAACTGACAAAGTGGCACAACTGGCTATTTCTTTTTTTATTATTTTTATTTATTTATTTTGGCAATGCTGAGGTTTGGACTCAAGTCTCCCACTTGCTAGGCAGGCACTCTACCTCTTGAGCCACTCCGCCAGCCCTTTTTTGCTCTAGTTATTTTTTGAATAGGTTCTCAAGCTTATGGCCAGGTTGTCCTATGCTTCCCATGTAGCTGGGATGATGAGTCCGAAATCCAGCACACCCTCACCTCAATCCTCCCCCTCTCCACTCCTCAAGTAGCTGGGATTACAGGTATAAGTCACTGTTCCTGGCACAACTGCCTATTTCTAATATACACCTGATAGTTACCAAAATGCCCTGCAAAAAACTGGCCTGTTCACTTTAATTACAAATTGCCTTGGCATTTAAAAAGCATTGCCAGGGTTCTAGTATAAGCCAGGCCTGTGCTGGTGTCCCACCTTAAGCACCTTTCCCATATGCTGACTACCTTCCAAAAGTGATCCTGAGACAAGACTCATCCTACCCATTTTACAGATGAGCAACTGAGGCTGAGGGTTCAAAGACTCACTCAAGGCACAGAGCTTACATATGTGACTCTGCTG